ATGGAGTCCCAGAATCGCAAAAGAGCTCCAGCATGGACCGAACGGGAGGTACGGGATCTGATCACTGTTTGGGGAGAGGAATCCGTGCTATCAGAACTCCGTTCCAGTTTTCGAAATGCCAAAACCTTTCTGAAAATCTCCCAGGGCATGAAGGACAGAGGCCATAACAGGGACCCGAAGCAGTGCCGCGTGAAACTGAAGGAGCTGAGGCAAGCCTACCAGAAAACCAGAGAGGCGAACAGCCGCTCTGGGTCAGAGCCCCAAACATGCCGCTTCTATGATGAGCTGCATGCCATTTTAGGGGGTTCAGCCACCACTACCCCAGCTGTGTTGTTTGACTCCTTCAATGGAGATGGAGGCAATACGGAAGTAGGTTTTGGGGACGAAGAAGATGATGATGATGAGGAGGTTGTAGATAGCTCACAGCAAGCAAGTGGAGAAACCGGTTTTCCCGACAGCCAGGAACTGTTTCTCACCCTAGACCTGGAGCCAGTACCCCCCGAACCCACCCAAGGCTGCCTCCTGGACCCAGCAGGCGGAGAAGGGACCTCTGGTGAGTGTACCTTTTAAAATGCTATACATGGTTTAAAAGCAAGCATGTGAAAGGATTACTTTGCCCTGGCATTTGCAGTTCTCCTAGATGTAGTCCTAAAGCCTTTGCAAAAGGTTTCTGGGGAGGGCAGCCTTATTGCGTCCTTCATGGTAGGACACTTTACCACTCCAGGCCAGTAACACGTACTCGGGAATCACTGTAGAACAAAGCATTGCAGTGTATGTTTGCTGGCATTCAACCAAAATCCGTTCTTTATCTCTCTGTGTTATCCTCAGGAGAGTGAGATATAATTCATGGTCACCTGGTTGAAACAGAGTGCTTTTCTTCAGGGGACACTCAGAGGAGCCCATTCCTGCTGGGCTGTTTGCCTGTGGCTAAACAGAAATGTTCCCCGCTGTTAGCCACAGGGAGGGGAGAAGGTTGAGGGGGTAGTCACGCGGTGGGGGGAGGCAAAATGCGACCTTGTAACGAAAGCACATGTGCTATGTATGTAATGTTAACAGCAAGGTTTACCCTGAAAGAGTGTAGCGACTGTTTTATAAAATGTGTCTTTTTAAATACCGCTGTCCCTTTTTTTTTCTCCACCAGCTGCATGTGTTTCAATGATCACAGGATCTTCTCCTTCCCAGAGGCTAGTGAAGCTTAGAAAGAAAAAAAAAACGCACTCGCGATGAAATGTTCTCCGAGCTCATGCTGTCCTCCCACACTGACAGAGCACAGACGAATGCGTGGAGGCAAATAATGTCAGAGTGCAGGAAAGCACAAAATGACCGGGAGGAGAGGTGGAGGGCTGAAGAGAGTAAGTGGCGGGCTGAAGACAGGGCTGAAGCTCAAATGTGGCGGCAGCGTGATGAGAGGAGGCAGGATTCAATGCTGAGGCTGCTGCAGGACCAAACCAGTATGCTCCAGTGTATGGTTGAGCTGCAGCAAAGGCAGCTGGAGCACAGACTGCCACTGCTGCCCCTCTGTAACCAACCGCCCTCCTCCCCAAGTTCCATAGCCTCCACAACCAGACGCCCAAGAACGCGGTGGGGGGGCCTCCGGCCAACCAGCCACTCCACCACAGAGGATTGCCCAAAAAAAAGAAGGCTGTCATTCAATAAATTTTAAAGTTGTAAACTTTTAAAGTGCTGTGCTTAAAGTGCTGTGTGGCATTTTCCTTCCCTCCTCCACCACCCCTCCTGGGCTACCTTGGTAGTCATCCCCCTGTTTGTGTGATGAATGAATAAAGAATGCATGAATGTGAAGCAACAATGACTTTATTGCCTCTGCAAGCGGTGATTGAAGGGAGGAGAGGAGGGTGGTTAGCTTACAGGGAAGTAGAGTGAACCAAGGGGCGGGGGGTTTCATCAAGGAGAAACAAACAGAACTTTCACACCGTAGCCTGGCCAGTCATGAAACTGGTTTTCAAAGCTTCTCTGATGCATACCGCGCCCTCCTGTGCTCTTCTAACCGCCCTGGTGTCTGGCTGCGCGTAACCAGCAGCTAGGCGATTTGCCTCAACCTCCCACCCCGCCATAAACGTCTCCCCCTTACTCTCACAGATATTGTGGAGCACACAGCAAGCAGTAATAACAGTGGGAATATTGGTTTCGCTGAGGTCTAAGCGAGTCAGTAAACTGCGCCAGCGCGCCTTTAAACGTCCAAATGCACATTCTACCACCATTCTGCACTTGCTCAGCCTGTAGTTGAACAGCTCCTGACTCCTGTCCAGGCTGCCTGTGTACGGCTTCATGAGCCATGGCATTAAGGGGTAGGCTGGGTCCCCAAGGATACATATAGGCATTTCAACATCCCCAACAGTTATTTTCTGGTCTGGGAATAAAGTCCCTTCCTGCAGCTTTTGAAACAGACCAGAGTTCCTGAAGATGCGAGCATCATGCACCTTTCCCGGCCATCCCACGTTGATGTTGGTGAAACGTCCCTTGTGATCCACCAGAGCTTGCAGCACTATCGAAAAGTACCCCTTGCGGTTTATGTACTCAGCGGCTTGGTGCTCCGGTGCCAAGATAGGGATATGGGTTCCGTCTATAGCCCCACCACAGTTAGGGAATCCCATTGCAGCAAAGCCATCCACTATGACCTGCACATTTCCCAGGGTCACTACCCTTGATATCAGCAGATCTTTGATTGCGTGGGCTACTTGCATCACAGCAGTCCCCACAGTAGATTTGCCCACTCCAAATTGATTCCCAACTGACCGGTAGCTGTCTGGCGTTGCAAGCTTCCACAGGGCTATCGCCACTCGCTTCTCAACTGTGAGGGCTGCTCTCATCTTGATATTCATGCGCTTCAGGGCAGGGGAAAGCAAGTCACAAAGTTCCATGAAAGTGCCCCTACGCATGCGAAAGTTTCGCAGCCACTGGGAATCGTCCCAGACCTGCAACACTATGCGGTCCCACCAGTCTGTGCTTGTTTCCCGAGCCCAGAATCGGCGTTCCACAGCATGAACCTGCCCCATTAGCACCATGATGCATGCATTGGCAGGGCCCATGCTTTCAGAGAAATCTGTGTCCATGTCCTGATCACTCACGGGACCGCGCTGACGTCGCCTCCTCACCCGGTATCGCGTTGCCATGTTCTGGTGCTGCATATACTGCTGGATAATGCGTGTGGTGGTTAATGTGCTCCTAATTGCCAAAGTGAGCTGAGCGGCCTCCATGCTTGCCTTGGTATGGCGTCTGCACAGAAAAAAGGCGCGGAACGATTGTCTGCCGTTGCTCTGACGGAGGGAGGGGCGACTGACGACACGGCTTACAGGGTTGGCTTCAGGGAGCTAAAATCAACAAAGGATGTGCCTGTACATCAAGGAGTATTTCAGGCAGGACTGCACGGAGGGTTCCAATAAGAAATGGTGCACCTAAGTTATCGTTGTTATTGGAACAAGGAGGTTAGCCTGGCCTCTGATTGATACATGGCTAGATTTACCTCGCTGCACCTTCTCTGTGAGTGACTGCAGTGTGACCTAGAGGAATGAGTCCCCTAGACAGGGGAGGAGGCAAATGAGTACAAAACAAATCTGGTCTATTTCTTGTTTTGACCCACTCCATCTATCTTTTACATCTTTGGCTGGCAGCAGACAGTGCAGAAGGACTGCATGCCATCCACATCTCATGGCTGCTCGGCAGAAGATAGTACAGTACGACTGCTAGCAGTCCGTATCGCCTGCCCGCTCACCATAAGACGGTTCAATAGGACTGACTGCAGGACTAAAGAGAATGACCTGCTCAAGTCACTCCAAATTTAGTCCCTGTGCCCATGTCTGCCCAGGCGCTCCTGATTGACCTCACAGAGGCGACCAGGAGCACCTCAGACATGACGATGACGGCTACCAGTCGTACTGTACCGTCTGCTGCCACAAGGCAAGGGGTTGCTGCTACTGTGTAGCAATGCCGTACCGCGTCTGCCAGCACCCAGGAGACATAGGGTGACGGTTACCTGAGCGGGCTCCATACTTGCCGTGGTATGGCGTCTGCACAGGTAACTCAGGAAAAAAGGCGCGAAATGATTGTCTGCCCTTGCTTTCACGGGGGGGAGGGGAGGGAACGGGAGGCTGACGATATGTACCCAGAACCACCCGCGACAATGTTTTAGCCCCATCAGGCATTGGGATCTCAACCCAGAATTCCAATGGGCAGCGGAGACTGCGGGAACTGTGGGATAGCTACCCACAGTGCAACGCTCCGGAAGTCGACGCTTGCCTCGGTACTGTGGAAGCGCTCCGCCGAGTTAATGCACTTAGAGCATTTTCTGTGGGGACACACACACTCGAATATATAAAACCGATTTCTAAAAAACCGACTTCTATAAATTCGACCTAATTTCGTAGTGTAGACATACCCTTAGCTTGTAAGCTCCCAGGGGGCAGCTCTCTTCCTTCAGGGTTTGTACAAGGCCGGGCACCATGGAGTCCTGGTCCATGTTGGTGCTACTATAATACCAATCAGAATCTGAAGAAATGGAGGTTTTACCCACGAAAGCTTATGCTCAAATAAATCCGTTAGTCTTTAAGGTGCCACCGGACTCCTTGTTGTTTTTGTGGATACAGACTAACACGGCTACCCCCTGATGACTGGTGTGGGCAGCTGCCCCAGTCTCATGCCTCTGTTCTGTACGCCATGGGGCACGTGGGCTTTTCTTTTAAAATCCCAAACTACGCCTAGAAGCCGGTAACTCCGGAGGAGCCGGTGGCTGGGTCAGGGCCCTAACAGGCGGCGGCTCCCCTTCCGCCACGCATCGGGCGAGGCTGCCGCCCCCTCTCCGCGGGGCCCGCCAGCGGCAGCCCGGGCTCGGCTCCCCCTGCCCCGCTGGCGGCCGGCAGGAGCGGGAGGCGGGCGGAGGGCGCCCGCTGGCGAGCATGCTCAGCCGCTCCCTCTGACTGGGCCATGCTAGGGAGGGCGGGCGCAGAGGCTGGTCCGAGGCGAGGCCCCGCCCGGCGGGGGGGGGGCGCTGACGGCCGGGCGCTGAGGCCCGGAGTGACGGGCGCTGCGCAGAGCCCGGCTCCCCGCTGCGGAGGGTGAAGGAGCCGAGCCCGGCCAGGCCATGCCCGGCCCCCCGGCGCTGGGGGCGGCAGGCCCCGGCCCGGACCCGGAGGAGCGCTACGACTTCCTCTTCAAGCTGGTGCTGATCGGGGACGCCAGCGTGGGCAAAACCTGCCTGGTGCAGCGTTTCAAAACCGGGGCCTTCGCCGAGCGCCAGGGCAGCACCATCGGCGTGGACTTCACCATGAAGAGCCTGGAGATCCAGGGCAAGCGAGTCAAGGTGGGCCGGGCAGAGCCGGAACCGTGAGGCTGCAGGCAGGAGAGAGCCCCCTAGGCATTGGAGGGAACCTAGGGGGCACAGGAGACCGCTCTGGAGAGGGACCAGCCCTGTTCTGTATCCGAAGGGATGCCCCTCAGGTGGTTCCTAAAAAGCCAGGACCCATATCCGCCCAGGGGCACTCAGCAGCCTTTGATCCTAGCAGCCTGGTTTCCAGTCAAAACTGGCACCCAGAGGTGGGGGTTTCTACCATAAGTTGAACATGGGCAGGGGAAGGGAGGGAGACAGCTGTCAAAAAATAGTATCATTCTGCAGTTCATATAGTGGCCTTTGTCTGGTGGTACCATGTGGTCACCTGAGCAGCGGTGGAGAGAGCACTAGAGCCCGTAGGGTGGCTGTCACGTAAATGCTGAGCTGCCCTGACCAGAGAAACCAGTGCCGTTACTGGAGGATGGGGAGAGGAAGAGGATATCCTGGCTGGCAGCAAACATCACAGCACTAGCGTATTACTGCCCCATACCTGTTCACTCCATCTTTCCCTCTGCAGCGAGATCCCTACAAACAAGTTGTATACTTTTTCCTAAACTTAGCTATCGCATTGCCATGAAACAACTGCCACCTCTCCCTGGAGAGATGACTGCATTTCAATGCTCTGTGCTGGGATCCCTTTCTTTTACTCTAAAGATCTACTGCATATGTGTGTGACAAAAATAAGTTTACCTTCACTGTGTTTACCACCTAGGAGTCAACTATGACACAATTAACTGAACTGCTTCTGTTCACACCTCAGCAGCATTAGTTAAGTTCTAACTGCAGAATCTTCAAGACAGTTCAGGTACAACTGAGTAAAATACAGAATCTCAGTTGGTTCAGGTTATTGGTGGTAATGCACAAGCTAGAAAGAACACAGCTTGAATTTCAGATCCCAGACTGAAGCTGCAGGGCTGGTAGTTAGTTTAAAACTAAGATTTTTTCCTAAGCACTTTGTCACCTTGAGATCCCAGTGTACAAGGAACCACACACAAAGCCACTTGGAGGATCCTTTTTACAAAACAGAATGACTCAGTGGCTTTCATTCTAGCCTCTCCTCATTCTGTGTATATCAGCTACGTGGGCATACAGGTGCCAAAGAAAACTGGCATATCTACCCACTGGGAAATAGCCCCTTTGTATCCATGGCATAGAAGTGGCAGACCATCTCTTGGGGCAGTTCAGAAGAGGGAAAGCATGGCTGCAGTACACTGTACTCCAACTGTTTATTCTTTGATGCTGAACAGCCTAAACCCTGGGGCTGCTTCATTTATTCTGTGGACTAGCCCAGTCATCCAGTTACCTCCAGAATCTAGGTAGTATGCAGCCATCTTTGCTCATTTCCTTTCTTTTCCCACAAGGGCTGAGCAGAGCTCAGTTTGGTCACAGCGTAGAGCTAGGGCCTCTTTAATATGAAAGAGTTATATAAATATGGTAATTACAATTGTATTTTGGTCTGTCTCACAGCTGTGTGCCAAGGTAGGGGGCCAGGTCCTCTAATCAATGCTTCTTCCTTCAGAGTGGCTTTGGTGAGCAGAGTGGGCAACAATCCTAGCAAGTAGGAAAAAAGGTGGCAGAAAAGAATGATCAAAGTTATTGGGAGGAGAGGAATGATGAGCTTACAGTAAGGAGTATGGTTTCTGTGGGCAGCTCAAAGATAAGGGCATTTACTTCCTTTGCAGGTGTTTTGTCTTTCAGGTTCCAGTTCTGTCTGAACAGCTGGGGTAAGCAGTTCATGTTTCAAGTCACCCTGCAAAAAATATCATTTTGGGTTTTTTTTAATCTTATATTAGTTCCTCTTTCTTGCTTTTCACCAAGTTAGGAGGCACAGGAAGTGGGGTTTTCCCCTCTAAGATTGAAACTTGGCTCAATTTAAATGCCAGACACACGCAAAGTAACAAATGTGTCTCTCTTGCCAGGTATCTCTGCTAGGGACACTGAAAATTAGGCAGCTCCAGCTCAGGGTCTAAACCAGACTCCTTAGGTATTGCAGAAGTACTGACAATAAGAAAAAGAATCTCTAATTCAGCACTAATAGGCATTACTGTAGGCAAATTAATCTACAGTATGTATTTAGTAAGGTCTACTAATAGATCCAGCTAGTAGACATACCTTAGTTGACTCTACGTTTTGGTCTGAATTAGAGATGGAACAAGAGATCATAACATGCCCAGACTCTGAAAATGTTTGGATGTGGGTCTTTTGTTTGGCATATTGAGATAGTGACTGTGAAATTTGGATCCATCTCTGGATTTGAAATTTACCTAGAGGTATTCAGTTCTTGAGGATCTAATCTAAATAGGGTTTGTTCAGGATGTTGCAGGAGGCTGAGAATAGGGAGGCATTTTATTTTAATTTTGTAACCAAATTTACAACTTGGAGTTAAATGGGACTTCATGAAACTCATAGGCCTTACATACTTGACAAACTGGGTTTCAGTGCAATTTGTGATGATTCTGGCAAGGGCAGGGAGGATTCCTTATTCTTACTATATAAACTCAGCATCTCACAGCCTGTGAGCATACAAGCCTGTACATGTGCTTTGACAGATGTCACATGTTAACACATTTCCATTGAGATCATGCAAGACATGGCAGTTTTTCCATTTTGAAAAGATGAGCTAAAAGAGGTTTTTGAAAAGGTAGGCCAATTGTATGCCTGTATACAGAATGTCTTAAAACAAAAGGACATTTACTACACATGATTGAAATAATTGTTGTTTGGCTATTCAGATGCTCATGCCGGATAACTTCTGTGCTGCTTTGACTTCACAGTGACTGGGGAGTTCTGCTAGTGATTGGAGTTTCTCCATAGGGGTCATGTACGTGGTAGATTATTAATTATTATTATTAGCAAATGGTGCAGTTATGAGAAGTATTGACAATTTGTTGTTATAACCTTCGGTACATAAACTCATCTTTAAAAGTCCTTCTCAGAACAACAGCATGGACTAAAGATTCATACCATATACCTGACCCCCTAGGGCCTGGCTTCATTCTCCATCATGGCAGTGGTGGTATCAAAACACAGTGGAGTGCAAGCTAATGTGTCTTTGGGATGGGGATTCAAACAAAAAGGTTGTAAAAAAAAAATGCTGTTTAGGACATTACATGTCTTCATTACAATTTTTAGGGTTTCCAGAAACATTTCCAGGTTGGGCTTTTATAGAAGTAGCCCCTTCCTGCTGGGCCTTTGCTGATCAGGGTTGGCAGGGGAGAAAGGAACATATTGCAGAATTCTCAACTTTATTCCTGCAAAAAAAAAACTTTTAAATGAGGCTCTTTCTGTGACCCAAACCTTATGTCCCTTTAGGCATCTGGAATTATATTTTAGCCACTCTCCCCCCCCCCCCCCCACTGCCTTTTAGGTTTAGTCAGCCTTTATAGAAAAGGAGAGACATTGTGGGGCTTTAGTGCTTGAGAATGGTCCTGCACTGACAGCCCTGAAAATTTCTCTTTAGAAATAGAACAGTTACAGCACTGGCAGCCCCAGTACAAGCTTCCACAGTGTGCCTCAACCCTACCATCTTCAAGGAGTGAGAGTTAACACCTCCCCCCACTCCTGCCTAGTCACCCCTTGGTTGCTCTGCTTGATCTGTCAATAAGCTGCCACATGTGGTGTTTCTGTGAGGTAGATCTCTGTCCACTGGGAACTGCAGCAGCCAGCCATTTGAGAGTAGTCACTTTTTGCTCACTACTGACTTGGGCTGGATTTAAACTTGCAATTTAAAGATTAGAGCTGGGTGGAGAGAGGTAATTCCACTTTACGGAGGATATTGATATTTCAAATTTTGGTTTCACTGGAATTTGAAGTGAAAGTCAAAAATTTCTAAATTCTTCCAGAAAGGGAATGGAGTCTCAGCTCCGGGGCTGTCCGCTTGGTGGGTTGCTGCAGACCCTGAAGTCTCTCCAGCCAGCTCCAAGATAGGCAGGTTGCTAAGTAGCCAGGCGCAGTGCTTAATTTGTGCCAAGGCTCAGCCCCAGCACCTCTGGGCTTGCTACTTCAGTTATGAAATTTTAAAAAATTGGTTGAGACCCAGCACCTCTTTCGTTACAAATTAAGCACTGGCCAGGTGGGCAAGGTGGCAGGAAACCTGCCTGATTGGAACTTTGTCAAAAACCAGGTTTCAGAGTAATCAGATGTCAAGAATTATAACATTCATAAACCAGTCGGAGAATACTTCAATCTCTCTGGTCACGCGATTACAGACATGAAAGTTGTGATATTACAACAAAAAAACTTCAAATCCAGACTCCAGCGAGAAACTGTTGAATTGGAATTCATTTGCAAATTTGATACAATTAACTTAGGCTTGAATAAAGACTGGGAGTGGCTAAGTCATTATGCAAGGTAACCTATTTCCCCTTGTTTTTTCCTATCCCGCCCCCCACCCCCACGTTCTTGTTAAACCTGGGGGCGGGATAGGAAAGGTGGAAATGGCCCACCTTGATTATCATACACATTGTAAGGAGAGGTTTCAGAGTAACAGCCGTGTTAGTCTGTCTTTACAAAAAGAAAAGGAGTACTTGTGGCACCTTAGAGACTAACCAATTTATTTGAGCATGAGCTTTCGTGAGCTACAGCTCACTTCAGAAGTGAGCTGTAGCTCACGAAAGCTCACTCTCAAATAAATTGGTTAGTCTCTAAGGTGCCACAAGTACTCCTTTTTTTATTGTAAGGAGAGTGGCCACTTTAGATAAGCTATTACCAGCAGGAGAGTGGGTTTGTATGTGTGGTGGGGGGGGGTGAGAAAACCTGGATTTGTGCTGGAAATGGCCAACTTGATTATCATACACATTGTAAGGAGAGTGATCACTTTAGATAAGCTATTACCAGCAGGAGAGTGGGGTGGGAGGAGGTATTTTTTCATGCTTTGTGTGTATATAAAAAGATCTTCTACACTTTCCACAGTATGCATCCGATGAAGTGAGCTGTAGCTCACGAAAGCTTATGCTCAAATAAATTGGTTAGTC